AAAACCCCTGAACTTTAGGGTGTCTTACAAAACCCTCCGTGAGTTTTAACCATTTCTCATGGACCACCTACCTGTAATTTGCAAATAACTAAATATCCTTAAGAAAAAAATCCCAATTTATGTCATTTGTCATTTGTAAGCAATGTACCCTCTCTCCTAAACTTTGGATTTTTTTACTCTCAAGAAAATATTATTAACTTGCAAATTACGTATAAGGGTGTCTATTGATGCTCGATATCAAACAGCCAATTAATCCAGAAGAGGGTTGTTGCGGGGTGGTGAAGGATGATAGAGGGCCCGTTCCCTTCTCCAGCTTTACGCCTAGTTCTTAAATGAGGGTCTGATGTTTGCGCTGCACAGACAGAAATAACTCGTGAGAGGGCGGGGGACCGGTTCCCCCGTAGTTCCTCTGACGATCAAGTCAATTGATAAACATGAGCTTGAGTGGAGTTTAGAACTATGCGTTCTTATGCTATGTGCATTAGAGATTATCATCTCTCAAATTGGATGGATTAGAAGAGTTAGATTGTTATTTATTTTCTTGCCTTGATTTCATGGGGGGCTTCCCTACTCTGATGGTGAATAATATCCATATATAGTGTGGATGTCCGTGGTAGATTGGTCTTTTCGGCCATGCAGAATGGCGGTGACAAAGCGTGAGCTGGAAGATGAGTCATCCCTCTCTTTACAAGTGTCGGCTGGCGACTGGAAGGGAAATCATTTCAGCATGGGAGATGTGTCTCTGCGATATCCGAGAAGTGACTTGTGAGCATGGAAGAAGGCACGCGGGCATGCTGAGTCGTCTCTTGCTTTACAGGTGTCGACTGATGACTGGAGGGAAAATCACTTCATTATGGGAGAATGTATCTCCGCATTTTTCGGAAAGTGATTGAGCTGACGAGTCATGGAGACTTTGTCAGGCCAATATCTGGATAAGACTTGTTCGAGGTGAATTGAGATGTCGATATTTGCTCGGGGGGAGCGACTTGAGACCAGGGTCGAGTCCTCAACTTAGCCGACAGCAGGGAACGTCCCTTAAATCATTTCTGAGAAATGTCCAGTGAGTGCCCGAGTGCCTTAAATAGGGTCGTCCTTGATAAAAGGGTCGACTGGCACCGTCTTTCGTGTCGACTTAGGAGTGTCGGCCTATCGAGCTGAGTGAGACGTCGTCTTATCTTAGCTTAATAACCGCTTTTCAGGTCGATATAAAGATGTCGACTCGTCTGGCATGTCAGGATCTCTCGTATCGGCTAGTATCGCCTCTTGTGTTGACACCAGGGCGTCGGCTTGATGAGTCGGTGGGGTCGAGACCTCAGTAATTGTGCCTTGGGACAATACTTTGGTAAGGTACCAATGTCTTGTAATCTAGCCATGATGGTCGAGTTGTACTGGAGGGTGGAGGGTTCGACCATATGTGGTGCATTGGTCTTACATTGATAAAGAGCCAAGTGTTTGATACTCGACTGAGGAGTCGCTGTGTCTTGAGCTTATCTTGATAAAGTGCCAAGATCTTGATATTCGACTTAGGAGTCGAAATGCCTAGAACTCTTAGGAGTTGACTAGGACTCTTATCGTATCATTTTATAAATACTGTATCTTAGGTGAGCGAACACCATAACAGTGTCCAATGAGAAAAGTTCAAAGTTTAGGCAAGTTTTGGACACCCCAAAATTGAGGTATTATGTGAGAGCAACAAAGTTTAAGGGGGTTATGTGAAACACCTTCCAAAGTTAAGGATGGGTATTGTGAAATTAACCCCTATAAATTTTCACTCGCTTAACTAGAGTTCCCTTAAAATTTACACCCCCAAAACAAAACAAAACAAACAACTTTTACAACATAAGCTGACTACTTATACGTGTTTTGGGAAAGCTTTGTTTTTTTGTCAAACTAGCTTTTAACCTAGTTTTTTCATATCTAATTGTTTGATAAATCACCAATAAGCTGGCTTATAAGCCACATTTAAAAAAAGTTAGGATCCCCAACTTTTAAAAAACTAGCTTATAAGCTCATATAAATAAACTAGGTTTGACCAAGTAAATAACCATTCTATCCATACAAACTTTTATAAGAATTCTATCATAAAAGCCAAAAACCATCAAAAGCTAGCATGACTTTTAAGCTTCTAAAAATAAGCCCTCCCAAACACTACCCCTAAGATATCTCAACATTTAAAGTCTAACATTTTCAAGATCATAAAACACCCAAAAATGAAATAGAAACTCTGATCAGATCACTGTGACATGTGCTCTAACAAATATAAAATCAATCATGTCGTATAATTCACTATTACATTCAAATCAAAAAAATTGATTCAGATATAAACCATTAGATTGGACTTTGAAGATCCTTTTAGATCCTTATATTCCTTAAAATTGATCTTCAAGCGATTTAGCCAAAGAGCAGAGTGTGGAATGTCGAGATTATAGCCAGAAAACTTTCTCGAATTACAAAAAAAAAACAAGAAGCATCAATCAGTCGAAATTATATCTAGAAAATTTACTCGAATTACGAAAAAAAACAAGCAGCATCCAACAACGAGATCACTGATCAGTCAAAATCTCACTTACACGCTGAAGGTGCCGGTGACCTTATCGTTAGCGGATCTAACAGCGGACTCGATATCGAACCCCAGCGCGCCCGACCCGCTGTCGTCTTCGGATCTGGAAGCGGCGTAGGAGTTCCAGTCGGCGAGGAGAGAGGAGGAGGATTTGGGCTGATCACTGCCGCTGGGCCCACCCATGAACCAAGCTTGCGCTGTCTGCATCTTGACCCAAATACTGGAATAAAACTCAAGAAAACAAATGAGGAATATTTGGAAGGAGCGTCGGTTTCGTTTCTTGTTGTTCTCTGTTAACTTTTTACCCTGGGAGGGCTTCTTTGGATTGAGGGGAATGAGAGTGAAGGGAAGTTAGGGAACCATTCACCTCTACTCACCTTGTTTGGGGGGCATGTTTGGATTTGTAGTGGGTGAAGGGAAGTTAACGTCTCGTTTGGTACGCGGGAATGAGGAGGAATGGAATGCAATTCTCACTTTCCATTCCCTCATACCAAACACACCTATATTTTAGATGTTGGAATGACCATTCCCTAGGAATGACCATTCCCTAGGAATGATCATTCCCACTATTTGTGGGAATGAGCATTCCAAGTGAGAAGATAAGGAATGGTCATTCCCATTCAAGTGAGAATCAAAAACTAGTTAGGTATTTTTCAATTATATCCATATTAATAATAAAGAATGTTTGGGTGAGGCGCTATGCAAGTGGGCAATTTTAGATTGACAATTTAGGCTAGTATATCATTTTGCTATTTCGAAACTTATTATTTTAGTTGGTATTGTTTTATGGATTTTTGCTATTATGAATTGAGTGATTTTGATACTTTATCAAATAAGTTAATTTATATATCTAGAACTGTGGATTGTGGATATCATTCTTTCTTTTTTTTGACCTATGAAAGATACGATAATCTTTTTTTTTTTCTTTAATTTTTAAGACTAAGAAATAGCGAGTATTGTTTAAAAAATATAAACGAAACATACACCTGATGGATAACACGAGCATTAGTATAACACATACCTAGATTAATATAACATATGCGTATATAAAATTATTTAGTTATTATCATTAATGTTTATTTTTTATCTTATTAAAAATCTATGTTGTTGTAAGGGCATTATTAGAAAATGAGATTTCATTCTCACTTGTGTACTAGTGATACCAAACATGGGAATGAGAATGAGATTTCCATTCTAGCTTCATTCTACGAACGCACCCAAACAAGAGAATGAGAATGACCATTCCATTCCCACATGCAATCCATTCCATTCCTTCTTCCATTCCATTCCCAAGTCTGTCCATTCCCGCGTACCAAACGAGGCGTAAGGGAAACTGAGAGAAGGGAAGGGAGAGGAAGGGAAGGGAGTTCCCTTCCCTTTGGTTACACCCTAATTTGGGGTAACAAATTTTATACTATTAGGGGGTGAACCAAGGGGAACTAGGGTGAATTAACTTCACCTCCTAAGTGTTCCCAAACAAGGTGAATGAAAGTGAATGGTTTCCCTAACTTCCCTTCACTCTCATTCCCCTCAATCCAAACAAGCCTTAGGAGGTGAAGTTAATTCACCCTAGTTCCCATTGGTTCACCCCCTAATAGTATAAAATTTGTTACCCCCTAAATTGGGGTGTAACCAAGAAGGGAACTACCTTCGCTTTCCTTCCCTTCTCTCAGTTTCCCTTAATTTCCCTTCACCCCCTACAAATCCAAACAGGCATGTAGTCTTTAAATCGGGTCGGATGGTAAACAAGCTACCCCCATCGAACCGGAAAGGTGGATGGTTCGGTTTATTTTTGTGAAGAAACAGACCGAACCCAGTTTGCGCCCAGAAAGTCATTTCCCACAGTTTCTCCGGAAAAGGAAAAATAAATAGTCGTTTCGCATTTTGAACGCGGGTGGAATTTGGTTTCCATGATAACCCATGGTTTAGATCGGTGCTTAGGTATGTGAGTCAATAGTTTTAGAAGAATGTAGAGAGAACAAAGATCGGTGATTAATTTTTGCATTGTAACCTTTTTCCTATTTATTTATTAAAAAATAACTTTTTCAAGTCAGAAGTCTGGAATTGAATTTCTAACTCAAACTATGTTTAATCCGATAAACGATTAAGAAAAATTTTGTGTAGACGATTTTCAACCCTTTCATTTGGTTTCCAAGTGAGCCAGACAAACCCATTACTGAATCGTAGTGGGAAATATATTTCTAATATAAAGTAAGTAAGAAATCTTCGGTCTCTCTTTAAAGATAACTCGGTCTAAAATTGAACCAAAAGCAATGATAGCCATATTAAAATCTGCTAACCATCTAGGTCACCCATAGTGGGTGTGACATAAGGGATTTAATACATAAGCCAACACAAGTGTGGATGGTAAGCAAACACAAGTTTAGATGGCTCCTTATTTAGAGCCAAGATATTTTTTTATTAAGTTAAATTGCTATTTGTGTTTTCAATTCTCATTTTAAAGGTTGTAGCTTTTGCTCCCCCTAATTTGGCTGCAAATTTTTTTCCAACAAAATTATAAATTCATTTACATTTCTTAACTAAAATTTTGCAAACCAAATAATAAAAATATAAATCCATTTGCAGTACGGACACTTGGAGTTCTCTACGGAACCAAACAGCGCTTAGTATTATCGCCTATGAGCTTGCAAAGAAAAGGATAGATGCCGCTTCTAGTAACTCTGGCAAAACCACTGGGAAAACATAAATGAAAACTAACCCACTCATACA